TGAGACAGAGAGAAACAGAGCATGAGTGGGGGTGGGGCAGAGAGAGGAAGGCACAGAATCTGAAGGAGGCTCCAGGCTCTGAGCTGTCAGCACAGAGCCCAACACGGGGCTCGAACCCACAAACCGTGAGGTCACGACCTGAGCCGAAGTCGGACGCTTAACCAACTGAGCCACCCAGGCGCCCCTATTACTTATTTATTTTCAAATATTTAAATGTTTCTTTATTTTTGAGAGAGAGAAAGCACGATTGGGGAAGGGGCAGAGACAGAGGGAGACAGAGGGTCTCAAGCAGGCTCTCCACTGACAGCACAGAGCCCGATGTGGGGCTTGATCTCACCAACCTTGAGATCATGACCTGAGCTGAAGTCAGACACTTAACTGAGCCACCCAGGCGCCCCTCTTATTTATTTGAGAGAGAGCACAAGCAGGGGAGAAGGGTAGAGGGAGAGGATCATAAGTAGGCACCACGCTTAGCACAGAGCCCGACTCAAGGCTCAAAGTCTCAAACTGTGAGATCGTGACCTGAGCCGAAACCAAGAGTCAGATGCTCAACTAACTGAGCCACCCAGGTGCCCCTAAAAAGCGATCTATTTTAAAGCTTAAAGAGGATTCCCTGGGAATGCAAGCTGGTGCAGCCACTCTGGAAAACAGTCTGGAGGTTCCTCAAAAAACTAAAAATAGGGGCGCCTGGGTGGCGCAGTCGGTTGGGTGTCCGACTTCAGCCAGGTCATGATCTCGCGGTCCGGGAGTTCGAGCCCCGTGTCGGGCTCTGTGCTAATGGCTCAGAGCCTGGAGCCTGTTTCCGATTCTGTGTCTCCCTCTCTCTCTGCCCCTCCCCCGTTCATGCTCTGTCTCTCTCTGTCCCAAAAATAAATTTAAAAAAAAAGTTGAAAAAAAATAAAAAAAAAAAACTAAAAATAGAACTACCTTATGACCCAGCCATTGCACTATGAGGCATTTATCCACGAGATACAGGTGTGCTTGTTTCGAAGGGACACATGCATCCTAATGTTTACAGCAGCACTATCAACAATAGCCCAAGTATGGAAAGAGCCCAAATGTCCATCGATGGATGAATGGATAAAGAAGATGTGGGATATATACACAATGGAGTATTACTCAGTAATCAGAAAGAACGAAATCTTGCCATTTGCAACTACGTGGATGGAACTGGAGGGTATTATGCTAAGTGAAATTAGTCAGAGAAAGACAAAAAATCATATGACTTCACTCCTATGAGGACTTTAAGAGACAAAACAGATGAACATAAGGGAAGGGAAACAAAAATAAGATAAAAACGGAGGGGGACAAAACAGAAGAGACTCATAAATACGGAGAACAAACTGAGGGTGACGGGAGGGGTTGTGGGAGGGGGGGATGGGATAAATGGGTCAGGGGCACTAAGGAATCTACTCCTGAAATCATTGTTGCACTAGATGCTAACTAATTTGGATGTAAATTTAAAAAATAAGAAATAAAATAAAATAAAAAAAACTTAAAGAGGAATACAGTGAACCAAAGACCAGACACTGATGCGTGGATATTATCATAAAGTGGCTTTATTAAATTCCTTTACCTTCTAAAAAACGATTATAAAAAGGAATACTTCATTTAAGTGTAATACTGTCTTTATGGACGTACCGTGGTCGGGAAGTGAAGTTAAAGGTCATGAATACACGTGACAGGAGAACAGGGGACAGAGGCGGGATGTCCCTGTAGCCTAGCATACCAAGCCCAATGGGTAGGGGGAGAGGGGAGAAGGGAAAGCAGGGATAAATATGGACTTATCTGGGGAGCGGCGTCGATGAGCTGCTTCTAGGAGCTTCGCTTGACCATACTGCTGGCTCCGGGGCCAGACGCGCAGGTACACAACTTGTGTCCCGCTTCTCAAAGCTGCCCAAAGTTGTGGCCTTCTGTCAGACACCAGCAGTTGTCCCCAGTAGGCTTTGGTTTTGTTTTCTCTCCAGTGCACACGCGCGCACACACACACGCACACACGCACACAGCACACACGCACAATCTAGGGTGTCTCCTTCAACCATCTAAACTCTTTTGTCTTAGGTACCTCCCTTCAGTCAAAATCAAAGCAAGCCAGACTCCATCAAGCCAAGAAGCCTACTTCTGTAGGCGAGAAGCCAGCGCTCTGCTTTACTGAATGACCACGAGCGAGCGCTCATGGGCCGAGCGGACAGAAGCGGACAAGAGAGGACAAGACACCTATCAGCCAGGGATCTTACTCCCTGTCATGAGGCACTTAACTTCTCAAGGCTCGGAACCCCTCCCCCCCCTTTTATTGTTGTTGTTGTTGTTGTTCACAAAAGGAAGGAACTGGAAAGAAAACTATGTGGAGATTCTGAGGACAAAACAGGCCATGAAGGAAACTGCGTGTGTCTGGAGAGCCCTATTTCCAGCAGGCTCTGTTCCAGGCAGCTCCGGAAAGCCTATAGGTTGTTGGGGGGGAAAAAAAAAA